TATTAATGCAATTGAAAATTTCCGGTCACAATTATTACGCACTTCAATTGCACGATGCCGATACCTGTCTATACGCAGCCAAATATACGATGACTCTTGATGGATAATTTTATTTTATGCGCAAGAAGAACGCGGGCAATTTCGGATTGTAATGAATAGCTTGAACGGACAATACGTCGCATAGATTTTTTTGATCCAGTTGATTAAATTTCAAACAGCCAAATTAAAAATGTCTCAAGTGATAATCTAATCTACAGCTAAGTCGTCGTGATCGTTACCGCAATTCACATCTTTGTAATATACATCAGTGACAGCAGCAACGTTCATCCGGAAAGGTCCAAAATAATCCTTTACATCGCAAGCACATACGCGAGCTTTTGCAACCACAGTCCAACCCTGAATCGACGACTTCTTGCCACCGCTACCTCCCACCTTCTCTTCCACGACGTCTCTAGAAAGTCGAATGCAAGGGGTAGTGGCTGTAGAAGGTCGATAGATAGAAGCCGGAACAAGAAAGGCAGAGAGGGGGTAACGGGCTGGACATTCAATAGAGTAAACAAGTGGAGTAAAGTCGTGACTCATGAAACGCTTGATCGCTTACATTAATCTTACCAAAGTATATTTTCTCTCTCACTTTCTCATCCCTTGTACGGACGTATACGATTCTATTGCTCCTCGCGAGAATTATTTGAGCCCCGGAGGCAAGCAAATTTCCGTAGTTCTTGTATACGTTCCAAGGGGTGTAAAAATATTTATTATAAGCGTTAATAGGTACAAAAAGTTTATAATTACTTGTGGCGACACCGGATTCAAGGTCATACAATGCCTTGCAGTATAACGTAGCTTATAAATTCGAATTTTAATACATGAAAAAAAAAAAAAAAAAAAAAAACAAATAAATAAATAACCCTATTCACGTACATGAATGAGAAAACAACATAAGCCTGCAACAAAAATAATAGTTCAAAGTAAAGATGAGCAAACAAAGCGCAACATATTATATATGACGTTTCTCAAAGGGCAAGATCGCAAGCGATTTATAAACGGGTTAAATAATTCTGGGGACCAGCTTGGGAGAACGACATTTGCAGTGGTGATAACGCACCGGTGACCGATAGGGGCGTTACGCGCTCGCAATTGATAAAATGACAGATTCTTCGGTTAATAACAATATTATTACCAAAATGCAAGAATAAGCACGCACAAATAAAATAAGTTCCCGGGGGACACAGTCACGCGCGATGCAACAAGCAAGACATATGTAATATCAGTTGAAGCAGGTATACCTACATGGATAGATTGACACTAGTCATCTGGTGCGTGAAAATATCTCGATTGCGCCCGCGTCCGCCAGAATAAGCAGAACCGAACATCGGGACTCTGACACAGGAGCAAGGTGGTATTCCTTTGTGCTGTAACAGGAACAGGATCCCCCTATCGCGTCTCTCTCTGTCCTTTGTTGGCGGCACGTGCTGCTTTACACAGCTATGAAATTGACTACGTGCCTGTCCGTCCCTTGTCTACCCTCACTGTGTGCACCGACGAGGAGAGATCGTCAATAATGTTGATGACGATAATGACAAGACCTCGACCGTGGAATCTTACACGGCGAGCCTAAGGATGATTGCAATAGATAAGCCTACGTAGGTGCTCCCATTGTACGTAGGAACACCTACGTGGGCAGAAATTCAACTTGGAATTAATATGCAAGCTAGCCTCGTCATCGCCCTCGCCATATTAGTGAACTTCTCATTCAACTTGAACAAAACAAAGCTCTTTTTTTTTTTTTTTTTTTTTTTCTCAACGAGTTTCACTCTTCAAGATATCAAAGAAGAAGATAATCGGATTAAAATATCTTGTGAATTTTTTAGGATGACGATCTTTTTGTACATTTTGAGGCGTATTAAATCAGTTGCATTTTTGTTTATAATGGCACGGCAAAAACTCGGTTTGTAAACACGATGAATGAGTCCAGTCTTCTTTTTCACGGCACCACTTCTTGCGTAACTCCAAAGGAAGGCAGTAACAACGAAAAGTTTGGAGATAAAACATTTTTATCAAGAATTTTCATAAACAATCGAAACAAAAGAGTGTCTGTAAGTCCAATTAGTTCATAGTTTGCAAGCTTTTTGCTTTTTTCCATGATATTTTACTTTTTTTTTTTAAAATACTCTGTATCACTTAATAGATAAAAGTGTACAAATATTCTGTAAGAAATTTACATTTAATGTATTAAATCCAATTTTGCTAGAACAGCCTACATACAAATTGGCATTCAATCAATAAAATGTATCCATCCTCGACGAGTTGTGTATGGTTATATTGTTCAACAAATAATCGTAATGTTTGAAACTAGCCATGGATTTCTTAAAAAATTGTATCCCTTGGGATAATAATTATCGTTGTACCGCATTTGGATACACATCGCCCAAGTCATTTGGACATGCATCACAAATTTTGGATATGGAAAGAAATTTAGCCTTACTCTCGGTCACGTATTTTTCACTTTCGAGCTGCAACTGCAAAAACAAATGCCAGAAACAAAGGGAGCACTCATCATTCACACAGAGCCCAAACCTCGCTCTTTTTTTCCAAGGGTTTGACGCAGAAGCGGAAAATTCGCGCCTTAAAAGGCTCTCAAAGTCAAAGCCATTGCGTGTTGGCACTGCGCATCATATTTATAACATATGTATATGTGTATTCCGAGACGACAACGTTAACAACGACGACGATGGGGAATTGAATTGGCCTGAAAGTAAAAAAAAACAGAGAGCCGTGTTTTGCGAAAGAGGCAAGAGGGCGAGAGGAAAAACGTGTAACGGATCGAGGGCGAAAAGTGGCGTTTTCCTTGGAGGAGGAGGAGAAGGGCCTTTCATCGTTTTACACCCCCGAGGCGGACGTGCGTGTCTTCTATTGTGCCAAGGGTGTATGTGCTGTGTACCGTAGTAGCTACACACGTCGCTCGTATGTTACGAATTTATCTTTGAGCGTTTATATGTAAACAAGGGACGAGGCGCTCCTTTTTTTCCAATTTACACACACATACGTAATACATTTTGATGAATACATGCATACAAGTGACCCCATACTGATAGATGAAAAAAAGTGAATAGCCATCTGCTAAATTTAACAACGATGCTTGTTTGCTCAAAGTAATAAATTTTTCCTGCTCGCAAAACAAATTTTAAAAAGTTTTTGTGGCATCAGTAACAGTATGATAGATGTACAGTTTAAAAATTTTTTCATTCGTGAAAAGTCAGTGACATGGACTCTGATGATTTGTTTGTATATTTAGCATTGAAAACAATAAAAAAAAAAAAAAACAGTTTACGCCCGTAAACAGGGCATGTGCAGGTGGAAGTGCAGACACGAGTCTTGCTCCTCTTTTTCATACAAGTATGACTGCAGTTTTATTGTTCGGGAGTCCTCTTTACTGCTGCGATTATTTAATTGTAAAGTCTCTATCACAAGTAGAGGCATTCGATGAATATCGGGTAGAACTGTACATTTCTTTTATTTTGCCATGACACTGGTGACACTATGAAATTTTTCTATTAAATGGAACTAGAGAAAGGGGGAAACGAAGCACCGCTGCTACTGTATGCGCGAGCGCCATTGTTGCAAAGGGCAGTTGTCTGCCGTGCATTGTCCTGTTGGCACACGTAAGCTGATTCATGAATATTCGAGTTCATTAGCAAAGGGTGAGACACACGTGTTGGCTTTTTTCAAACTAAATGGGCCCACGGAAATTTGGTTGAAAGCTCCCATGGACACTAAATTTGAGCTTGGAGCTCTCTCGGCACATTCGACACAAAAATCGAACAAAAATAAAAGCTCGCGATGAAGTAAACGAGGGATGGGCCTATGCGTAAAAAAAAAAATAAAAAAAAAAAAAATAATTTTACGAACCTTCAGCTCACCAAGATGAAGGAAAAAACACTAATTTACGAGGCGAAGGTAAAGAATATTTCAATTAGATAAAGATTTGCTATACCCAGGGTGGTTTTCGCCAAGTATGCTTGAGCCACAGAGTTTGGTCGCAGCTTTTCCAACTCGTTCAATCACTGTCCTCGAGCGAGTTGGTGAGTGTGGGAAAGTAAGAAAGTCTTGCGTGTTGCAAAAAACAAAACGTGCCTCGATTCTTGCTCTGCTTATTCGATGAAAAAATGTATGTGAGATTACTCGAACGTGAGCACTCGTTGCAATACAAAAGTATACCGTGTACAAGGGGTTTACTTACTTCATTGTTCACACTTGAAGCGAATTCTCAGTTTTGGTACAATCTAATACCGAGGAAAGGAAAAAAAAAAATCCACTTGATCAAAGGAATAATGGAAACGAGAAAAGAAAACGTTGTTTGATTCGTGAATAATTTGTTTGAGCAAGGCAGGTACGAGTCATTTAGTGTTTATCGACATTCGCGTGAGAACAATATGCAGAACAGTTTTTTTATTCAATTTTTGTATTGAAAATTTTATTGCTATTGTTATTCTTATTATTATGATCATCAATGTGTAAAAATTGCTGTCTATATAGTTATTATGAACGTGTTTGTTGCACCGTTCGGTACTTGCAAGTGAATTTCAAGACACTGCGACACATCCGACACGTTAGTGATGACGTTGCAAGTAAGTTGGGTTTTAACAAATAAGGCTTGAAAACTGTATGCGCGCTCTGAAGCGATCTTGCGCAGATGCAACAGAAAGTCCTGCATGGCATAGACAGCGTCGAACGCGTCACAATCGGAGATGGGTAATTTCGCGTGACGCGAGTGACACCGCCCGTATACGCGTCTATTTTCCTCGTAAAAAAGTAAGAAAAACACTCGGGTGCATCAAGCGATGGCACGCAAACAGCACAAAGAAGGAAAAAAAAAAAAATTCCCAACAAACGCACGCGAGAGAAAGAGTATGCGTGCGCCCGCGTAAGAGGGGGACTTTTAGCGATTAACAGTTTAGCGCTGAATGCTAATAAGCCACATCGGCCGGCTGGTATTTAGTTTCCGGTATCGGCATTGCGGACATCAGTTGGCCTCGCACAGCCGCATCAACCATGGAATCTCAGCGCTCTTACGGCACCCGCACCCTTTACGCATCCGTAACCGCTGGTACGTCGAGTTTGGCAGTGCTGCGCTTTAACGGAAACGTTGGGGTGTACCGCGAGTGTCTATATGAAATCACAAGTATTTCTCAACGAGTGCCGCTGTGGGTGTTTTTTTTTTTTTTTTTTTTTTTTTTTTTTTTTTTTTTTCTTGCGGGCTTAAAAATATGAATATCCTCAAAGATAAGATAACCGCGGCAGTGTTAGCGAAAAGACAAAGATAACGTTTATTGCTCCGTAAAATATTAAAAAGCTATAAATAAGTATGAGTGTGCAGTGGAAACGAATACTTTTTAAAATAATTCAACTTGCAATTATGCAACGCCGTGTGCAAAACTATATGAATGCCGCGCGAGAGACTCACGTATTTTGGTGAATGGTTGTGTATCGAATTTAACGTACTCATCGATGGGTCAAAAAAAACTAACACATCAGTTACACGTAACATTGATCGATCGGGGCGAAACGGGGGCCAAAAATATATTTCTTCGGAGTTTCGTATTGTCAGGCAATAACAATTGACAACTCTGCTTGAATTCACAGCCTGCCTGAACGGGTTGTCGGTCGGTAACTTGGCGGGTTGGCCACAAGCCGCGATCCCGCAGCTGCTGTCAGGATCGGCCGGCGGCGTGATTTTCAACGAGTCCGAGGTAGCATGGATCGCGGGCATTTTTTTCCTGGGCATGCTGGCTGGGGGCTTTGTGTCACTGGCCGTTGCCTCGAACTATGGGAAAAAACGACTGTTCCTGCTCGCCTCTCTGCCGATGATGCTTGGCTGGTCGATTATCGCGGTCGCCACAACCTTCTGGGTAAATAGCTCACTTTAGGAAATACGAATGACAAAGAGTAAATTCGATTATTTTCTCCTTGAGTAAAATTTTCATTTTATACACGGGCAATGATCAACTGCGATATATATCACGATGATAATGATTCTACATTTTTTTTTTTTTCCATTTTGCGGGAGCAATAGGGGTAAACGGTACAGTTGTTGACCCCCCGATAGTGATTGACCGTCACATGCATTTTTAAATGGAGCCTTTATATATAGATATACAAATTATACAGGGGTCAATCACTACCTTAAGGTGTCAATAACTGTACCGTTTACCCCTACTCAATAAAATCGTTGTGGTCAATTTGGGCAAAAGCGCGATTTTTCGCGTTTATTTTCTCCATGATTCAAATATTTTTACTACAATTATGGATCCACAGGCCCATCTCCGTTTCGAATCTCAGGGCAGACGTTGCAATGAATAAATAGTCCTGCATATCATTGATGAATGCCTGCAAGTTGTGCATTTTGAATTGTTCCCCAGGAATTCGTGTTCGGCCGGGTGGTCCTGGGCATCGGTGGTGGAATGCTCTGCCACCAGACCGAAATGTACCTGTCGGAGGTGTCACCGGCCAAACGGCGCAGCAGCATGTCCGTCCTGTTTTGCGCGTGCATCCACGTGGGCGTGCTATTGAGCTTCGGCATCGGGCCGAGCTTGAGCGTGAGCTCGGCAACGGCCGTCTACCTGGCGGTGGTGTTGCTCCTGGTGGCGCTTTACCTCTCGGCGGTACCCGAGACCCCCTTTTGGCTGATCCAGCAGGGCCGAAGCGACGAGGCGCTGAGCATCCTGCGCCGCCTGAGGGGTAGTCGGGTCGACGTCACCGAGGAATTCAGGGAGATCCGAGAATTCGTCGAGAGAAGCGAACTCGACACCAAATCGGAGCTCGACTGGACGGCTTTTAAACGCGTGCTGAGCGCTCCCGCCAAGCGTAGGGCCATCCTGCTCGTCGTTCTGCTAACTACCGGTACGTGGGGTATGACCGGCGTTGCCTGAATAACCCAATCGCGTGATAAAATTTGTTCGATGATCGCAGCCCAGCAGTTCTCGGGCATGGCGGCAATGCACTCGTACGCCCAGCTGATATTCGAGCGCTCGGCGAGCAACCTGCTCGTGCAAGGCAGATACGTGTCCCTGCTTATAGGCTCGATCGAGCTCTGTTGCACCCTGGGCAGTGGATTTCTCGTCGAGCGGGTGAACCGTAGGAGCCTCGTCGGCATGAGCACGGCCACCTGTTGCGCGTGCATGCTGGTGATGGGACTGCACTTTCACGGACTGGTCGGCGACAGTGGCGTTCTACCCGTTCTCTGTGTCGTCGTGTTTGCCCTGGCCTATGGGCTCGGACTCTCCACCATAGCCACAGTCATAGCCGCTGAATGCCTCTCGATGGATGCCAGAAACATCGGGGCCGCTGCCCAGAACACCACCGTCTGCTTCTCGATCTTCACCATCACGAAGCTCTGGCAGGTGAGTGCATCAAGATAATGTATGTCTGTGTGGGTGCCGTTGGCGCTTGCACAACGAAACATCTGCCGCTGAAGGATTTCTGTCGCGCTTCGATTTTGTCTCGGGGCGTGGCGTCGCATCTTCGATGTCTCGTCTATACAGGCTCCTTCACCGTAAAAACAATTTTAGATCAGAAATTGGCGCGTGACAAGGTTTTTTCCTTTAGCTCGCGAAAATCGAATCAATCACGAGAACCGACGCGAGACGCCGATTTATTGTTGGATTTTTTCAGCAACGGCCAGATTGGGTTGTAGTTGAAGTTTTTGCGATATTTTATCGACGTAATGCTGAAAATTAAATTACTCGAACATTGATATTTTTATTCACGGGGTAGCTTGAAACATCCCAATGCTTATTATTCTACGTGTATGCATTTCATCGACATTTTAGATGATCACCAGCTCGTACGGACAAGAGTACTCGTTCTGGATGGCCGCGGTCGTCACGGCGCTCCACTGCGCGGTGCTGCTTTCGATTTTACCGGAGACGCGGGGAAAATCGCTCGTCGAGATACAAGCTTTGCTGGCCGCCTCTTCCAACTTTGAGAGGTCGCTCAGGACTATACCGCTACTTCCGGTGCTTCAAAGCATAAAAATAGTACCAGCGGGTCACATAGTCAAGAACAACGAACTGAGGCTGTCGTGATCTCTACGCTTGGTCAGCTGTTACGTTTAACCAAAAGTTGGTTGACGATTTTTTTTTTTTTTTTTTTTTTTTTTTTTTAATGAAAAGATGAAAAGAAATTTTGTTCAGCTACACCTCGTTCCGACGTATGATTGAAATATTACCGCTGAAGGTAACAAAAGAACTGCACACAGTAATGTACCGTCATTAGGTTGCTTAGTCATTAGTTTTCTAATTTTACATGGCTATTTTCCCAATGATTGAAAACGTACTAAAAGCCCGACCACGATAACACCATGATTTTTCTTCCTCCATGGGACACCTGCGTCGTTTATTTAGTAAAAGTACATAAAATGACACAATTTTTTATATTATCATTAAGCATCTTCGAAACAGTCTTTGAATTGGCAGATGAATATTTTTCTGCCGCTGTACATATGGTAGGATATAATGCGGATAAATTAAAATAAGTATTTATCATGTAAATAGTTTTTTTAGTGTTTAAAAAAAAATTGCTACCAATGGACTTTACTCGAGTACATTGAATGCTATTTTTAATATTTTCGATAATAATATAACAATAAATGTTAGTTTTGTAATATTTTTGTAAAACCCTGACTTTTCACTTCCTCATCATCCCCCGCTTTTAATTACCGATAGACTCGAATAACTGTCATACCATTAAACAATACAAACTTACTGCATGCTATAAAAAATGCAATACAAATAATGGAATAATCATCAAGTAATAGTTGATACACGTCAACCTGCTTATTCATTGACGCGGTAGGTACATATTTTAGCTTCCAGTGGTAATTTGCCTGAAATGCAATACCTTATGGCAGTCACATGTCGAGCATACCGCTCGAGACACGCGTTTGGGCTTCTTTGACAGAGATTATGCGAAACATGAGCCACATCCCAGCTACCGATAGCAATAAGGGCCCAATATGCGTACGTATGTATATACACATACCCGGATATTCAGCTCATGACTATGTGACTATGAAACTCGTCTGCCGACTATACATATACGACAGTTTTATCAATTTACAAGTATTGCAAGTTTGCTCTAGTCTTTTTGGTCCTTAATTGAATCACACGTGTTGTGTGCTATACCGATACGATTAAACGTAAAAACAACTCTTACTGGAGGTGAGGCAGTTTGCGGATTATAGATGCCTACGAGGTTTATGTGAGAAGCAAGTGAAATGTACCAAGAAAGCATAAGCGTCAGAAGTCGATCTCAATGTCAAACATGCCATCCCCATGTAACGATTGAGAGGACAGTTGGCTGTTGCCACCAAACAGGTGCAAGCTCTACCCACCATGGCTGCAACCCGTAATCAGTCAAATTTGTATTTTTAACTTATTTTTCCACGTTCTCTCTCTCTTGATTCATTTTCTCCAAAACGTTTTCTCAATTGGTTTTTGTTTGTTGGTTTTTTTTTTCAACTTTTGCACATATGCAGCCTAGTTAGAGGCGTTATCGACAAACAGATTTCAATTTTCCGCTAAATTGCGTAATAAACATTTTAAGAAGTACAGCGAAACGTGTTAGTTTCAAAACAGTGCAGATCTGCAGCATACTTGATTCAAACAACAATAACAACTACTACTGTACAACAAGGTGCAAGGAAATTTCGGGGCAAATATTTCCAACATGAAATACCAACTGCGAAATTATTCTATTCTTCTTCGGGCAGGTGTTTACCGTAGCCCGAGAATTTTCCAGTCTCACGTCTCTCTGCAAAAGCTAGATCACTGGTGCGCTCGTCACGGGCTTGCACGGAATGGCAAAAAATGCTTTTAAGCCGGAGCGCAGAAAATTTTTCGAGTCGGGCGCTCTTACAGGGAAAAGATTTTTAAGGGGATCGCACGTCGAATAATTTATCCAGAGCGGCAAAGGAACGCTTATACTCGAGCAAAAAGCTTTCGGCTGAGTCGTCCGGAGCGACGAATATGTCTCAGTAAAGCCGAAAACTATGAAAACTGAAGCAATAATTGGAAGATTAGTTTGTTCTTCCAGGGGAATCATTTACGGATGATTATCTTAAAACAACAACTTGTTGAGTTGTAAAGTCATGCACTCATAGGGGGCCACGGACGGGGAGCGTCTCCACTCGCTCAAGACGGAGAGTTTGTTCGTTGGCTGAATCAGAGCATATAGCCTGGAAAATTCGGTGTGAAGATGGAAAAAGGGATATCCCGGGGCGAGGACAAAGGGTTGACCAGAGTGCGTATCAAGTAAGAAACTTGGTCGATACGAGTGCGCGGAATATTGGTAAACTTGGGCGAGCAAGCGCTCGAGGAACTTTGCTGGGAAGCGCCAAAGCCGGAAGATAGCAGCAAAAGCAAAGAGGAAGGATTTCCAGTTTGGATTCCCGGTTCAAGTGAGCATATGGATATGGTGTGCAAGATTATGGCAGCGGGCCTGGAATTTGCGAACGAAGACGGTAGAGGGATAGGGATGGGCGGGGTATAGAGAAGAGTGGCTGGTGCTCAAGTCGAAATTCCCGTAGAAGCATGTTGAAGGTGAACCCTCACCCGTACATGTATACCCGCACATCTCGGGGCCGGATTTCCTCATTCTCTTGGCTGCGTATGTCTTTGCGCTCCTCGAAATAGGTACACACAACACATCTCTCGGAGTGGCTTAACGGGGGACTCTCGAAGAGCACGCGTCGATACACGTTACGTAAGGCTTGGGCTATTCGGCTATCACAAAGTGGAGGAGGAGGATCAGGAGGGTCGAGAAAGTATATATACTACGACTACGGGGGGGCATAAGACGCGCTCAAAGAGGGAGCGAGAGAAAGAGAGCCTTTGTCTTTGCACGGGGTTGGTCCTTCTATTTCCCCTTCCTCGTTCTATTTCATCTTTTGGAGCTTCTGCTTCGCTTTTTTTTTGTAATACAAAGACGATATTGTCCTTCAATTTCATAGACGCAATGTTCCTTGCACAAAGTTTATCACTATCGGCAGAGTAACGCGTTAACAAGAACATGTCCGTAGGGGGTTATAATAAAACAATATTAACCAGTAGTGGTCAATTACTTGTGTTTTGAAAAATTTCATGACAATGGCGTACAATGGCCCAGCTCCAGTAAAACTTATCAAATATTTTCGATGGTTGGGTGAAATAAGCAGCCAATTGAGATTTTGAACAACAAGAAGGCTTATTTGGATTTTGGTCGAGGGAGCAGCAAATGTTTATTGATGATAATATGAGCAAATTACGAAAATCAAAGTATTTTTTATAATTAATTTTAATTGAGGAATTAGGATAGTTTGGAGAAAGAAAACCACGGCAAACATTGGAGAAGAAGATTCAAGAAATATTGTACGGACGTATTTACAAGTCATTGAAGCGGGTGGCAGGCTTTATTTTGTCGCATGTTGGGAACAAAGAGCCAGACTGACGTGAAAATGAAAAAAAGCTCAGTGCCGTGTAGATACGTCCTGTGTGCTACAGGTGCAGAGGCTTGAGAGAAGAACAACGCGCCGAGCAAACTCGAAACCTCTTTTGACAGGCAAAAAAAAGACGGCCGATGATTGATGGGCTCTTTTTCTCTTCTCCCACTGGCATCGATTCGCGTTGTTCCAATAAAAAAGCAAGCGAGAGAGAGAGAATTCCAATGTGCCAATATTACAACAATATAAACATATATGCGAGTGTACGTATGTATTCGTTGAGTCGATTCCTCCCCTTTTGCCACTCCGCTGCTCTTACGCTTCTCTCCAACCGATTTGCGTAATTTCGAGCTGCGTGGTTTTGCTCGCTTGCCCGGAATTGTTATTCAGTACCTTTTCGCGTTCTCTCTTTCTGCTGCTCGCCTGGACTCCCCATAAGAAGGAATCATTTTGTTTTATTAAAATGTTTCCTGCGAGGCTGGCGTCTGATGTATCGTTCACCGTGGACGTCCAAGACGATGCACGAGTTCATCTTTCACAGGATCGAGTGAGGGTTACTTTTTTTCAAAAGATATATCTATTGAACAGCGGTACATCAACACTCTGCTTCAGATGGAAGATAAAAAAAATCTAAAGTTTTTTCATTTTTTATTGCTACAACGGCAAACCCGTCAAGATTTACTCTGGACAAAAATCTGCAAAGCATCTTGGCCTCGCAGTGGTATATCGTTGAACGTGAAATAGCAATTTACCCAACTGCTGCCGAACGCAGAGTTCGAATGGGTCAACATGGTGACCAAATAAGTGACTGGGCCTGTAGTACATCCTAGACGGTAGTCATTTCACCAACTGTACGCCGCGATAATTTGAACAAAAGTCATCGAGCTTAAGAGAATAGTTTGGAATTAACTCAAGTTTTTCCAACCAAAGAGAAACGTACTTACGTTGATTGAAAGCGAAAATCGGACAGAAATTTTCGTAAATGCTAATAACAAAATTTGAGTATTAAAATCATGACAGCTCTGCTGCATACATACACAATGATTCAAATTTGGCCTTGTAATGATCCCACGCGAGTCATCGTGATTTAATATTATTTCCAGTCGATTTTCCACGGCAGTACGGGACACTGGATCACTGAAAGCTTCTGTTCGATGTCTCGGGGAGCTTTTATTTTTCAGCTGTTGGCGGGGGGAAACACCCCGGCAAGCGCAGGTCGACTGGCAAATGTATTCTCGCTCGGTAGACGAGGGCCAATGGAGGGGTCGTCGGGCAGCAGATGAGAGAGGAAGCGAGGGATGGGACGAGCGAAAATTGGAGGGACTCGTTCCGTATAGGAAGAAGCTTTAAATACCCATTGCCGCGTGTTACTTATTGGCATGATTATCTCCCCAAGCTCGGCCCGACGCTCGCGTCGCCGATCGCCCGTGTACTCCGACCCCATTCGAAATTCCGATCGGGAAGATATACAAGCTACGAGAGAGCGAACGGCTCGGCGGGTGATTTCACCCTCTCGCTCCCAGGGAAAAGTTTAATGGTCCCCGGGCGCGTAGCAGCTACGGCGAAGGGGGACGGGGGGGGGGTAGAATGAGAAAGGGCCGATGAGATGAAACGAGCAAGAGAATGTCGAATCGCACTACTGCTACTATATATTACGTGTATACTAAGCTTTTACCATGAAAGAGAATTTAGGGGGAAGGGGTACACCGACAGGGCTCTCTGCTGAATTGACAAAACGTAACCATATGTTTGAGCGACTTGAAAGAAAAAAAAAAAAATAAATTGAATTTAAGGGAGGATTATTTTATTTGTTTTCATCAGTATATCCTGATGAATTAAGTTTCTGTTTTAGCAAGCTGTAAAATTTTAGTGTGACGGAGAAAAATAATTTTAAATCCAATTTCTATGAAATATGAAGAAATGCTTGCAGGTTTTAAAATCTTACAATTAAATGAAAATTGGAGACAATGACACGTGTACCCAATGTACGGGTCTGGAGAACGAAATTTTTCAGGAGGAATGACTAAAAAAGTTGATGTAACAATGTGCGAGGTGTGTGGAGGCGTTCCGTAGAGTTGTTGGTACTAGTCTATTCGAGTAGGACGACTGAAAATTTTAATCTTGTCAGTGTGTCAACTCCCTCAATATAAAAATGGCACGAAATACAGAAGCTTCTC